GTGAAGACCCAAAAACGAGGACTATTACTTGTAAATTAGGTTTACCGAAAGTACAAATAAATACTTTTAGAAAGTTGGATACTCAGAAGAGGATGAAGTAAGACCGAACATTTTTCAATAAAGAACATGTATAAGAGGCTAAGAGTGGACTTCCCAAAGGTCCCCTGGAGAAGAATGATATGCAATAATGCTGCTAAGTGGATCTTATCTTCTAACCGGCTGCACATAGGAGACTGCTAACCAAAGACTGGTAAATAAATGGGGATGTTTGAATAATGTAATCTGTCCTTTATGAAATATAAAATATGAGTCCATCGATCATCTATTCTTTAGCTGCTCATATTCCTCACAAATTTGGACAGCAATGCTGGAGTGGTAGGGGATACGCAGGCAGGTAATGACATGGAAACATGAGTTAGACTAGGCCGAGAGGCACTACAAAGGGAAGAACTCACTAGCTGAAGTATACAGGATGACCCTTGCTGGTAGCATATACTATATATGGCAAGAGAGGAATTGTAGAGCACTTATACTAGATATACGCTGCAGAGGAACTCTGGAACAGAGACTGCATAGAAGACTGAAGACGCTCAACTACTATCCTACCATTTAGTATAGTTGTTTAAAATGTAGGTACAGTACTGGTTAGACGTAGCGGGAAAACAAAAGGAGATTAGCTGACTTGGGGATGTTTTGTCAAGATCATGCTATAGTTTTGTATGCTCTGTAAATATTACTTGGTAAATAAAGTTTTTAATTACCAAAAAAGTATTTTGAAATGAGTCCAACAAGAGATATATCATATAAAATTTTATATTGTAGCAAGTTTATTGGTAGTACGTAAGAAAAAGAAAACGTAAACGAAAGTCTCAGGGCGGCCCGACAAATTTTGTGGCCTAAAGCCAAATTTTATGCGGGGGTCTTAATTCTTTTTAATTAGTATTATTTTTTAATTTGAAGTCCATTTTTCTAGTTTTTTTAGATGCGAAGTTATATATAATTTTTTTATAATCAATTTTTTTTTTAATAATTCTTTCTCAATTGACAATATAGTTAATCCATTTAACCTCTCTTCAGACATTATTGAGCCTAGTTAAGATTTTATCAATTTTAATTTCAAAAAATTTCTTTTTGCTGAAGTAACGCTAACCAGACTTATTAACATTATTCTATAAGCAATGGAGGGAATTCGAAAAGAATCAAAAAAAATATTTTATTGAGTATATCAATAAAACTATTATTTTCTAATTGTACTATTTTTCTTAACAATTTTAATCTAGAAAAGAAATTTAAACCATCAGTATCAGATTGATTATTAAGCTTCAAGGGACATCAAGATTAAGGTAGTATTTTTCCAAATTTTCATCATCTAGGGATCTCAAATTTTTACGCTAAATAGAAAACAAAAAATATTTTCAAATGCTTTGAATTGTTCAAATCTATTTTGAAGTGAAAAATTAGTCTTGTCTACTATGTATAAAAAGTAATTAACTCTGAAAGACTCTTCGAGATATTTTGAGATTTCAAAATCAATATTCTCGTCAATTGTTTTTTTCTATATGTCACATGTTTTTTACGAAGTTCAGGTTTGATTTTCATTTCAGATGCAATTTTCTTGGCAAAAATCATACAAGTTGCAAATCCTTTTACCCTTTAAGTTTTTAAGACCATTTTAAAAGTCTATTTTTTTCTAAATCCGTGACGAGTCAAACATACTCATCTATATTGAAACATAGGGAAAGTATATCATATATTAGATGTAATAAAAATGGGCCCCCACAAATGTGGGGCTTAATGCATTTGCTTTATTTGCTTTAGGGTAGGGCTGCCACTGGTCTCAAAACAAGCTTACTATTTAATGTCAAAATGTTACGATATTTTGTCAAAAACTAATATCACCATAAGAAAGGGTACGTAATAGTCCTTAATCACGAAATAGGAACCACGACGCCCGTATTTTTGCTTTTGTTCTTAATTTTTGGCTTTCCTTGTGTATGCTATTTGGTGTCTTGAACACTTAAACGAAATTGAGCTCACAATTATTGCGAATTTTTAGGGGTTGCCTTGATTTTATTTAGCAATAAATGAAAGAACGGGAAAATAATACGTCAGAGCAATTAGTTTTCATCTGAATATGAATATCAAACTAAGATTTGAATACATAAATTCTACAGTTAGTGCTCCAATTAGTTAACTGGCAAACAATGAGCATGGGAAAACCCTTGAAATAATAGGTAGCTAGCTCCTATTTGCGCGCTTGCAAGTAGGCCCGGACAACCGGCTCGCTCTGGGTCGGTTCCATATCCGGGCCTACTTGCAAGTCATTCTTTCAATATTACTCCTTTCCTAGTAGGTAAGTATATTCAGTAATGAAACTCTGGTCCGAATCAATCGCCGGATGATACATTCTAGCTCTCCTTCAAGATCTTCAATGGCGATTTCCACTGCTCCCAATCTTTTATTGGCACACTGCAGCGTCATAGCGTCGCATTTTTCCCAAGAACTTAAGCTGTTTACTCTCATCAACTTTGAACCAAAATACCCTTTATTTGTTTTCCTAGTATTTGGGCTTGGCATAGACATAAGTGACATCAATGACTCCAAAATAGAAACTGTTGCCACTCTTACTTCTCTTAACACATTCACAACCACCATAAGATTATTTTCTTTATCTTTCACGGAGTTTTCTAGTGATAATGATGATGAGTTCATGCACTTATTATTTTTCATCCCTTTTAAGGAATGCAAGCGTTTTAACATTTCTTTCTTCAACTTCTTCCTGTGACATTGATAAGGTGCAAACTTGTTTTCTGCAGTTGCGTTTTCGCCAACGGTGATTCTTCTGAAAGTGGACTTGAGGTCATGGACATGATCCTTAACTAGCAAAAGGACATCTTTGGTTGTACCACAAACGTCCAGCATTCTTAACGATGTTTCTGAAACTTCATGAGCCCATTTCTCTTGTCCTTGATGTGCTATTTCTCGTTTGATTACTGGTGAGTGAAGCATATCGTTGGCTGAGTCGTGCAAGTCCTTTAGAGCATCAAAATTGGGAAGGGCCATTGAATTTTCTTGGAGAAAAGGAATTGATATTTGAAGATATTTTGTTGAGCTTGGGACTTTTGCTTGGGAGTTTGAGATGGGATTGTACAATTGTTATATCTACACTTTATAGCTAAATACAGAAAGGAAGTTTTGGGTGATGAGAAGATGGATTAGTACGTGAGATCTGAGATCTCTGAGGAAAAAGGACAGGAAGGATCCTTCTTTGTACGGACTTGTTGTCCTCTAATTGGCAACAGCTAAGGTTACCAAAATTTGTCCCCCTAGGAAACTTCCTCCCAAATGGAAAATACATAAAAAGGATGCAAGAAATACATTGATTGATTAGTTGATAAAGTACGTAGTAGTTAAGATATTGTTGTTTGTGAATTATCTCTTATGAAAAGAAAAGAAAAAAGCCTATATATAATAGTTGGTACCATGCAAATTCATGCACGGGAGGGGAAAGATGCCATTCTAGCCGGTATTAAATTTGTCGCCTATGAAGACAAAATGTTTGCTAATTGAGGAGCATTAAGGCGGTAATCAACATGCTTTTGACAATACTTTCTGATTCCAAATTCAAGATTTAAAATTTTATAGGTTTTGAATTTTAATACAACAATATCTTATAAATGTTAGTAACTAGATTTTTAATTTCATTTTTATATAATTTAGTGTATTTATAAAACAAATAATGAGCCTAGGCCAAAGTTACTAGATTCTGTTGAACCCGCACTGCGTCCTCCCCTACTTGCAGTTCATAAGATCCACATTCACACCATGCGTGTGGAGATCTTCCAAGAAAGTTCTTGGAACAAATTATCTATTTATTGTTGATTGTTTAGTGAAAATTGAGGATAATAAGTACTTGGGAGTACTACTATCTTTTTCGTGTTTCTTCAATGATTGATAATTATAAACCTTGATGAAGCCATGTGTGCTTATACATGGGAGCTCCAAAAAAGAGATTAAAAAAGGAAAATGAAGCAAAATATTTCAATAATAGCACGTTATCTTGTTTCTTCGCAGCAATGCAACCCAAATAATTTCAGAAACCAACCTAAAAACAACAACATGAACATTTTTCTTCCAAGATTTACTATTCATGATTACTTTTATTTCCCTTCAAAATTTAATGTTTACTTTAAAGTATTATGATAAGTATAAGTTAATTTCAGTGGTATAAAGAATTTTGATACTATGACTACGATCTTATAAGAATCGCATATATATCTCTGTAGAGGCAGACCCAAAATCAAGAAGTTGCTGATGCACCATTACTTTCAATTTAAACTTATCATTAGACGTAAAGACTGATACTAAAGATGTATATCCAGATCGGTCAATATGTGTTAGCTCGATTCGAATACTAGATTTTTTATTTATAAATAGCCAAACCAACAGGAAATTAGTTTAACTAAGTTCTTATCTCTCAATTTAATTTTATTGAATAAAACCACAAGAAAATTAGAAAGAAAATGCCCCCCACCCCCCCCCCCCCGAAAAAAAAAAAAAAACCGAGCGTATCAATGGATAAGTCGACGAAAAAGAATATCTCTTTAACTATAAATTTTATTTCAAAAATATTAAGAAAATTAATTACAAATATCCAAAGTCGTAATTAACCACACTCAAGCAAAAAAGTTTCATATTTTTAAATTAAAATCAGTTAGAACTATTAACAATCCAACGCAATTCAAAACCCTTATTCTAAACAAAGGCTGAAGAACTGCTGGTAGCTAAAAGAATAGAAGAACAAAAATAACAGAAAATGAAAAAAAAAACATATATAGAGTTGAGCTAAGGTATATAATAACCTGCTGAACAAAAAATAAAAAGAAAAAAAAAACTCTTAAGTCTCCTATGTTTCATCAATATTGTTGAGCTAAGTTTATCCGCATGTAAACGTGCTAAAATGTATGAGAATTAGTGAGCTGCAGCTTGAGCTACAAAGCTCAACGGCGGAAGCTTCGAGAAGACATGCAAAAGAGAGTTATGAGACAAATGACAACTGCCTATCTATTGATGCCGGCTAAGAGTTTACAAGTGTATGCTTAACTAACTAACTGAACAATAAAGAATAAACTTATACAACTAATTACGCCACGTGTGTATATAGTGCTTATATAATACTCCCCCTAAAGCTGCAGGGTGCAAAATATTGAGCACACCAAGCTTGCCTAGAAGATGCAAATGTTGAGCCTGGCTCAACCCTTTTGTGAGCAAATCTGCAAGTTGATCCTTGGTGTTCACATAGATTGTCCTGACCATGTCAATTTTGATTTTGTCACGAATGAAATGACAATCGATGTCGATATGTTTGGTACGTTCATGGAATATAGGATTAGCAGCAATTTGCATGGCTGATTTAGTATCACTCAGCACACTAATAGGAACTTGAATATCAACAGCCAAATCCTTGAATAGGCTAAGTAACCAAGTGATCTCTACGACTGCTGAAGCCATGCTTCTATATTCTGCTTCAGCAGAACTTCTAGAAACAATTTGTTGTTTTTTTGATTTCCAGGAGATGAATCACCAAACTTAATAACATAGCCTATCACAGATCTGCGAGTGTTAGGGCAAGCGCTTGATTAGAGTCACACCAACAGCTAAGTTGATTCACCCAACCAGGCTTGAACCAAACTCCCTGGCCTGGAGCAGTCTTAAGGTATCTAACTACTCTATAAGAAGCCTCCTAATGGGACCTTTTTGGCTGCTGCATGAATTGATTGAGTGTCTCAATGACATAAAAAATGTCAAGCCTAGTAATTGTGATATACATGAGTTTCCCTATTGGCCTTTGATAAAGGCCAACATCAGGTAGTAACAGATCTCATTCAGCACCTGTTGCCTTATCATACTCTATGGTGGTGAGTCACAAGTTTGATTCAATAGGAGTGATAGCAGGCTTAGCTCCACTAAGTCCCAACTCAGAAATCAGTTCAAGTACATATATATTTCCTTTGATTCAAAATGACACCATACTTATACTTTAAGACCTCAATGCCCAAGAAATATCTTAGCTCACCCAAATCCTTAAGTTTGAACTTCTGATGTAAAACCTGCTTTGCCTCAGTGATTAGATCCTCACTACTGCGTGTAGTCAATAAGACATCTGCATATATCAAAATTACCACTATACCTCACTGCCTCCTTTGAGTGGACAACGAATAGTCATGACCACTCTAAGAAAAACCTGCTGCAAGTAAAGCATCTGTCAACTTGATGTTCCACTGCCTGGAAGCTTGCTTAAGTCCATACGATGACTTAAGTAATCTGCAGACCATGTATACCTCCTCATAAAGATCACCTTGTAAAAAGGCATTATAAACATCTATTTGATATAGAGTCCAGCCTTTTGAGACTGCCAAAGTAATTACTGATCTTACTATTATCATCTTGGCTACAGGAGAGAAGGTATTATGATAATCAAGTCTTTCTTGTTGACTATAGCCCTCTGCAACAACCCCGGCCTTAAATCTCTCAATGTCACCATTTGCCTGATACTTAATCTTGTACACCCATTTGGAACCCATAGTATTCTTTCCTACAGGCAAGTCAACAACCTCCCAAGTCTTATTTTCCTCTAAGGCTTGAATTTCCTGTTGCATTGCGTTGATCCACCTCTCATCCTTGGTTGCCTGCTTGAAAGTCTGTGGCTCTACCAAAGTAGAGAACTTGGATAGGTAGCTATAAAGGTAGAAGTAGTATTTTCATAGGTTAGGTAGTTAGCTAAGAGATATTTACTAGATGTCTTACTTGGAGCTACATAATCCTTCATCCAAATAGGTTCTTTGGATTCTCTTGAACTCTTTCTAAGAGGTGCAGTTGGTGCTGAAATAGTTTTTGCCAGAGACTATTGATCCTGCAATGACTCTACAGGGCTAAATGTTGATCCTGCAATGATTATATGTGATGATGTCTCCTCTCCTGGGCTGTCAGTAACCAGCTCCTCATCCTCTGCAGAATCACTGTTAGATGTATCTCTACCAGTGCAGATCAGATGAAAGTGTAGGTCCTAGGAAACCTGAATGCTCAAATCAGGAGCTATTGGACACTCAACTGGTGGTGTAGAAGCAAAAGGAAATTTTGACTCCTTGAATACCACATCCCTGCTAACAAAAATTTATTTAGTTGCCAATTCCATCAACACATACCATTTTTTCTTCTCGGAGTATCCCATGAGTGCTGCAGGTTTTGCTCCCCATGAGTGCTGCAGGTTTTGCTCTATCACACCTCCTTTTTACCACCCGAAAGAGGATATAAAAGAGTTTTTTCAATTAAAGTGACATAAATGAAATGAGATTATTTTAAATTATTTTAGAGTCGCCACTTGGGATAATTTATTATGGTATCCCAAGTCACCCGTTTATTTTAAATCCCAAATCGAGGAAAATCGACTTTATTTAAAAGTCTGCAAAACCAGAAATTCTATGTAAGGAATTCTGTTAACCCGGGAGAAGGTGTTAGGCATTCCTAGGTTCCGTGGTTCGAGCACGGTCGCTTAAACTATTAATAATTGGTCTAATTATCTGATTTACTACATGTCTTAAACCTATTATGTATTTTTAGCTTTATAACCGCTTTTAACTATTTATGGAATTATTCTGGAACAAGTTATGATTGTCGTACACTTGTTTGTTTGATACACATTGCGAATCGTGTCACGGGAACCGTACCCACGATCCACAACATGTTTAATTTATTAACATTATTAGAAGTTGTGGCTGGGTCACATAAATGTACCCCCGGATTTGGAAATTATGTATCACAACTACGTCACGGGAACCATACCCGTAGCTGTGATAATTTTACTATAAACGCGCCTAAAGCAAACTACGAATGTTCAAAGTGTTTTCTATACTAGTTATGAATGTTCCAAGTCTTTTCCATACTAGTTTCTTGCATTAATGTGAGGGCCATAGATTATGTAATTTAATTGTGGATGTCACACCTCAAGTTATTTTAAACGATTTGTACTCAATTAAAACAATCTATGGATGTTCCTATTTAAA